GCAATCAATTGAACTCAACAGATCAAAGGTCTTCCTCCATATCTACTCGATGGTCCAGACCATCTATATCCAAGTATTAGCAAGGAAGGACGTCAAGCAACCAATCAAACAACTCTTCAACCAATCACTCAACCAACAAGCTATTAGCCAGTCAATCAATTAATGAATCAATTAATCAATCAGTCAGTCAGTCAGTCAATCAATCAATCAATCAATCAATCAATCAGTCACTCAATCAATAAATCGCCATTCAATCAATCACATTACATCTCCGACAATCAAAAAAAAGACCACCATACTAGCCTACATACAAATTAAAATACCTCAAACAACTTGCAGAATACATAGCAATACCGAATCGTGTATGTTATCATAGTTTACTGAATACACATACAACACACATACATGAATACAGACATAAGCGCACGCACACACATACAGATAAACACACACCTTCAAACAAACACACCTATTATATTCATCATCATATCAGTGACTTAATTTTTTTCTCTTGTTAGGACACAAGCGTTAGCGGAAAGAGTTTTGTTAACATGTGCACTGTTTTTACACACACACACACACACACACACACACACACACACACACACACACATACATACACACACACAAACAAACACATACGTACATAAGCTTAAACAAATTAGTGTTAAATTAGTAAGAATCTTCTCGTTTTTATGTCTGTGATTTCATGGTAACATGTAGTTTGTTTATATAATAAAAAATATTTTTTTTTCATTTGCTGACTGAGTTTTATGAGTTTTATTTATTCATTTGTTTGTTTTGTTCATTCATTCATTCACTCTTTCATTCATTCATTTTTTCATTCATTCATTCATTCATTTATTCATTCATTCATTAATATTTACGTCAAAAAATTATGCGTGAATAATAAAAAAAAAAAAAATTTGTTCATTATTATCATTTTTCGACTTGTTATTATAAATAATTTAAAAAAATGAAAGTAAAGAGTCTTACCTTTTAAAGAAACAGTCCCGTATTGGCCGTGTTCAAACGCAAGATGAGCCGTTATTATATAACCTAATGGCACTCTGCTATGTAAGAGTCTTGTGGTGGTCCAGGTTTGAATGCAAGCCGAGGCACAAACTCTAATATACATTGGCCATGATTGTGTAATGTTTAAATAATTAAAAAGAAGCGCTTTTGGGAAAGTTTGGAAGGCGCTATATAAATGTTCAGTAATCAATTTATCCATGTATCCTTTTCATTCATTCATTCGTAAGTTCGTTCATTCATTCATTCATTCAATCATTCAATGAATGAATATTCATTCATTCATTCATTTATTCATTCATTCATTTATTCATTCATTCATTCATTTTTTCGTTTGTTCGTTCACTCATTCATTTATTCGTTTGTTCGTTCATTCATTCATTCATTCGTTTATTCATTCATTCATTCATTTTTTCGTTCGTCTGTTCCTTCGTTCGTTCATTCGTTCATCTTTGTTGTGCTTCAATCAGTCTTATTACTATTGAGAAATGTTTGTATTAAGTACCTTTTAAAAATCATAATGATTGATGTGTCATCATTAATCGAGTCATGTATGTGTGTGTGTTTGTATGTGTGTGCGTATGGTATATGTATGTATGTATGTATGTAAAATGTATGTGTGTGTATGTGTATGAGATTGTGGTGTGTGTGTATGTGTATGAGTGTGTGGTGTGTATGTATGTGTATGAGTGTGTGTGTGTGTGTACGTATGCATGTGTATTGTATGTTTTTTGATTGATTTACAGCCAAACATTAAGTAAACAATATTGCCTTTGATGTCCGATAACATTTTACCATCCTTCCAATACATGATAATGTTAATAATGTAAGAAGAATTAACAATGTTCTTATTGTTAATATTTACTATTATTATTGTTATTTTTCTCTCTTTCTCTCTCTCTTTCTCTCTCTCTATCTATCTATCTATCTGTCTGTCTGTCTGTCTGTCTGTCTGTCCATCTATCTATCTATTCATCAGTTATAATTCTCTTTAAATGTTAGGAGAAGAGACAAAGTCATTTTATGAATTCATAAATTTATTTGCCCATTAGGACGAAAGATATTGACAACCAATCAGAGTTAATCTTTAACGAAATTTGAAAAAATTCATAAATAAATCATAACGACAACAACAACAACAATAATAATAATCATTATTATTGTTGTTGTTGTTATTATTATTATTATATTTATAATAATAATTATAACAGCAATAATTTGCGCGGAAAAAGTTTTTTACCGCCAATAAAAAAAAACCACAAATATAATTAATACCATAACTAACAAGAGAAATAACAATAATAATAATATTACTATCAATATTATATTATTATTATAATTAATAATTATTATTATAATTATATTATAAATTATATTATTATTATACCCCAAATGTTACAAGGATTTTCTCCCAATAACTCTTCAAACGACATCGTAAAATTGCACTCTAGAGTTTAACAAATAATAATGAATATAAATAAGAATAATAAGAATTTTAATAATAATATTAATAATTATTTATATATATTAATTATTTACATGCGAAAATATTAATTTTTCAGTTTGAATTATCGGGAATTATGACAGTAAGCAAGTTTAACTGAGGTATTAACGTTGTATGCTTTTGATTATGATCAACAATAATAATAAAAATAATAAATATTATTATTATTATTATTTGTTATTATAATTATTAATTTAGTAGTAGTAGTAGTAGTAAGAGTAGTAGTTGTAGTATCAATTATTTATCATACCTATATTATTATATTTGTAGTTTTATATTTCTTTCTATTCTAGCATGTTCGCTATATAAGCTTGAATGATTTAGTGTGTGTTTATGTGTATGTGTGTATATGCATGTATGTGTGTGTATGTAGTACGTATGTGTGTGCATGTGTGTTTATGTGTGTGTGCATGTGTGTGTGCATGTGTGTGTGTGTGTGTGTGTGTGTGTGTGTGTGTGTATATATGTGTGGGTATGTGTTTTGTTGAAACACAACTTATATATACGTGACTAGAATTATGAAATATTATTATTATTTTTTATTATAATTATAATTATTATAATTATTATAACTATTATTATTATCATCATTATTTATTATTATTAATTATTATTATTATTAACATATAAGACCTGCATTCGATAGACTAGTTGCGTCATTATTTCGGGCAAATTATTTGGCATTCGGCTAAAGAAACGAATACAAACAAGAATAATAATAATAAAAAGAAGAAGAATAATAATAATAATAAACTATTGTTATTATTGTTATTACAATAAAAGTTGTAATTTTCACTATTAATATCAAATTTTATACCATTATTATACAAAAATATTTCAGAATGGTTCAATGAATGAATGAGTGACTCAATGAGTGAATGAATGAATGCAATGAAGGAATAAATAATATATATATATATATATATATATATATAAATGAATATATGTGTGTGTGTGAGTATATAACAAGATTTATAAATAATTTCAATTATTAATATACTAGCGCAACATAGGTTTTACTTGCGTGTATACGGCATGTTATCAATCATTAATGTTTTTGTCAACTTTGATGAAAATAAACTTTTCAAAAAGTAACAAATTCTCAAATAAACACACACACACACACTCACACACACATAAATATACATTCACATACACACACACATTCACATATACACACACATTCACAAACACATACACACACACATTCACAAACACACACACACATTCACACACACATTCACACATACACACACACATTCACACATACACACACACACACAAGTACCACACATACAAAAAATACACAAGAATACCTATGAGAGTGAAATTAGTGGTACGACAAGTACAAATGCAAAATAGAGGAAAATAGTAAAACATAAAAATTAGACGGTTAATGGATTACTATTTTACCAAAAAATAAACAAGAATGTAATATTTGGAATCTTCGGTTTTCATTTTTTGATTTGAGCAGCCGCGAGTCAAGAGAAAATATTTTTTTTTAAATCTGAAAAAATGTTTTATAGATAAATATTAAAAAAATTCGGCAAATAAGAAACTCTTACAACAAATCTTTTATGAGTATCCGGATATAAAATTTACATACTAGTTAAATACGAGTGTGTGTGTTTGTGTGTGTGTGTGTGCGTGTGTGTGTGCATGTGTGTGTGTGTGTGTAAAACTAAAAAATGAGGTATACTTATATATTATGTTAGCTAAAACCTGTATATATACATATTGGTTGAATGATAGGTACATCAATAACGATAATATAAAATAATGCTTACACAACATTTGTTTGTCTTTTGTATTTTTCTGTGTGTGTGTGTGTAAGAATGTGTGTACGTGTGTGTGTGTTTATGTGTAAGTGAGTGTGAATTATCTAGAGAACTGCCATGTACAAAAATGTTTTTCAATATCGATGAGAATGATTGTTGACATACATGTCGTTGTATGTATCAAGTCTTTTATTATCTTTAAAGTTCACACAAACACATACACACTCACATTCACACACAAAAACACTCATACACACTCATACAAACACACACACACACACATACATACAAACAAACAAACAAACAAACACACTTAAGTCTAGTTCTTTTATTTATCAGTAGCAGCAAATCAGACGCCATTTTTGTCATCACCAATTGTTAGCGCTTTGTCGATGAAATTCATTTTTGGCATAATTAAAATGTATACGAAGACACACAAACACACACACATATACTACACATACACACATACATATACATGCATACACACTATCTTTCTTTCTCTCTCTCTCTCTCTCTCTCTCTCTCTCTCTCTCTCTCTCTCTCTCACTAACACGCACATCCAAATGGCAACAATATTCATAGTAATGAAAATACGAAAGAATATATCCCATATATATACACATTCCACACGCACGCGAAAAAGTCTTCAGCCCCCTAAATTTAATCTACCAATCACTTTTGAGTTTGTGGGCGAACTGGGCAACATGTAAGAAGAAATCTCTGCCGTCCTTGGACACTCTACCGCACAGGCGACAGTGGAATGGATCCGTTGGATCGTGGAATTCCATGTGGATTTCATACACCCGGCTATCTCCAAATATAATTTTACAATGAGGGCAGTGATAGCCAGGGTTGGGGTTGATCTCGAATGAGGATTTGCCGGATGCGGGACGATCTGAGGTAGTTAGAGGGAGGAATGGCCTCTCGTCAATTTTTTTTGGTTCTGTAGAGTTGTTATCAATACTGTCTCTGGCTGCGTTGTGTTTCAGTGAGGCTGTGACTGTTGTATCACAGATTGTTGTTTTGACCTTATCATGAACGTTTTCATTATTTGGAATGTTGCTTCTGGCTTTTTCATTCTGGCTCGTGTGACCGTTGTTCAAATGCTCGACGACGGTTTCATTCCTATCAACTTTCGTTTCAAACTCGTCAGCGTCGTTTCTTTCGAAAGAAATGTTCAGTGTCTGGTTGACATCCAGTTTGTGAGCAATCCCCTTTCTCCTTGATTTTCTACCGTTGCTACTCGATAAGTTGTTGCTGTTGGCTGTGTCAATAGGGGATTTGGAGGCTTGGTCGAACATGTCAGCCCGCGGTGAATGGTTGGATGAGGTGGTTGGAGAGAGTTCAATCTTGTCGCATTCGTCGCTGTAGCGTTTTGCTTTTGATGTCAAATCGAGGATGTCTGATTCTTTGGACTGAGCAGTGCTGACGTTAACCTCAAGTTCCTCGTCTGAATTTTCGCGGTCGTCATTTCCAACGATGCACTTGTCCGTGTCGTCCCCATTTTCATCCTCGTTCTCCTCTTGTCCACCGTCGTTTTCACTGCTTCCATTACTTTCGTCGTCTCTCACGCCATCATCCTCTCGATGAGTTTGAGCTCCGTGCTTGAAGTGACACTGGTCGGTCATTAAATGATTCATGAGCAAGATTGCATTGCCGAAACTTTCACCGCACGCGTTGCACTTACAAGCGCCGTACGGGTTTTTACTGAGGGCCAAAGTTTGGAAGAAATTGAAATTGAACGGCATTTGTGGGATCGGGAATCCTGGATTGTGAGAGGCGTTCCTGTTGAAACTCTCGGCCAGCATCTGCCTGCTGCGGTTTTGAAACTCCGTCAACCAGGTTTGGTAGTTAAACGACATGTCGGTCCCGTTGACAAGAGGCGATTGTTGGAGCTGGTTCATATGAGGAGGTGCAAATTTATTCTGTAGTTGCTGCTGTTGCTGCTGCTGCAAGAAAAGCAAATCTTGGAAAGAATATTTTGAAGAGGAGTTGGCAAGCATCTTGCTGTTGAATGCCTCTCCGTTGTAACTGTTACAAAGCGAATTAGACGAATCTTTCTTGAGAGATTTCGTTGGAAGTGAATTTTTCTCGCGATTCTGTTTGACTGTCGAATTATTTTGCTTCTTTCCCTTGCGTACGAAATTCTCAAAGTTGCTGCTTGGATCGTTGAGTGGGAGGCTGCCGTCTGGTCTGAGAACAGGAGCGGGCTTGTGGTTCCACTTCTCAATGTGCACTGTCAGAGCGTGCGCATGTTTGGCGGAGAATTTGCAGCTGGAGCAGCGGTACCTGTACACGTACGAGTGGCACTTCTCGTGGCTGACCAACATCGAACGTGTTAGACATCTGGTGAGGAAAATTATTAGTTCAAAATATTTCTCTTTGAAAACTATCATTGATTGAATCATTAAAATATAATATTTGTAACACACAACATTTTAACATTAAGAACTGGAATATTTATCAAAAAGTTATAATAATAGCAGATAAAAAAAAACTCAAGAACGAACTTGTAATTGCATTTGGAGCAGGTGTATTGCTTCTCTCCCGTGTGTCCCTTCATGTGGTAGTGGAAGTGGTGGCGGTGCTGGGTGGCGAACTGGCAGCCGGGCTCGCTACAACGGAGCATGTTTGGGAAGTGAGTGATTCTGTGTTGGTAGGTCTCATTCTGAAGGGGCAGATGATTAAAAATTATAATTAAAAAATTTTTACTAGTAAATTTTTTAAATTTCTTTTTTAGTTACAATAACTATTTTAAATCAGTTATTTTTGAAGAATAAAAATAAGAATAAGAATAAAAAACAGACAAAAAATCATTTAAATATTTTGAACGCTAAAACATTCGAGAGATGTTGACACCTTTGTGTAAGTAAGATGCCCACAGATTTTGCAAGGTCTGGCTTTTATGGCTTTCTTATTAGAATTATTTGACGCCTGTTTAGTTGGATATGATTGGGAGGTTTTGTTGATAATTTTTTCGCTAGGTGCAAGATTTTGTGATAGGTTTTCGGGCGAGGAGAGGTTAAACTGGGATGTACTTCGATCATTCTCGTTACTCTCATTTAATTGGTCGTTGTTAGGTGAAACTCGATCGCGCAGATTGTTTGTTGCGTCATTGGTCTCTTGCTGCTTGTTGTTGTTGTTTGTGGTGTTATTGTGGCTGTTGTTGTCGTTGGTGATGGTGTTGTTGTGGCTGTTGTTGTGGCTGTTGTTGTTGTTGTGGTGTTGGTGGTTTTCTTCGGTGATGTGAGAAGACTTCAAGTGTCTTTTGAGCCTTCCCTCGCTTTTTGACTTGTAGTTGCACATGTTGCACGAGAACTTGAAGTGTTCGCGGCAGTGCTGCTCGAATTCATCCTTTGAAGATCCTATTTCGCGTTATTTTTTATCGTTTGTGAGTTTTGACAATTTTTTTTTTGTTTTTTGTTTAAATAAAATTAACTAATCGACTAAACAATCAATCACCGGTTAATTAAATAACTATTTGATCGCGCGCATTCAATCAAATTTGAAACAAAAATATTTGCTCATGAATTTATATAAATCATTATTTTATCAATTTTAAAACAATTTTAATAAAGAAAAAACTTAAGTGGAATGAAACCTAACCAATGAATGCGCAGTTCCTACAGGGAAACAACTTCTCACTCTCATGCTCATACATGGTTTCATCATTCGACGAACTATTGAAACGTTCGTTGTCAAGTTTGGCCACCTTGCTGTCGACCGCAGAGTCATCCAACATCTCAACGTTCGGACCGCTCATACAATCCTGCTTGTTTGCGTTCGTTTTAACCGTGGGACTACCCATTTTACTAATTAGCGATGGGATGGAGGAAGGGTTGGTGCCAGCTGGTGGGCTCCGTATTCCATTCCATCCCCCCAGTGTCTGGAGACCTCGCATTTGGTTGAAGCACTGTTGTTGAAAGTGCTTTTGGTGGTAAAGTTGTTGCTGGGATTGTAGGTGGTAGTAGTTGTAGGCTGGGTGGTCGTGTGGCTGTTGGTCTCTAGACTGCTGCAGCGTCTGCTGCTCCGAGCCAAACCTCTGCACCATTTTTTGCAAGCAATCAAATGAGGTAGATCCTGAAGAGGAGGTGGAGGATGAAGATGTGGGTGGCAATATTAATGGCGGTGGTAGAAGGAGTGGTGGTTGAGAGGCAAACAAATTTTTTTCCAGATTAGTCTGTCTGGTGTAGCTATTTTTCAAGTGATCGTTTGGCGAGAGGAGTTCTGATTTGACAAAGGAAGATGGCGAAAGAAAGTTAGTTCGTGCGCTGCTAGCGCCACGATCGCCGCCGTTGTTGTGGCTGTTGTGGCTAATGTGGCTACTGCTGTTGTTATCGTCGTTTTCGGAAATGTAGAAACTGTTTTTGCTGGGTTGGTTCCTGAAAGAGCCAGGAGAATATTCATGGTAAGGATCATCGGATGATGGGACTTCTGTTTTTATGGCGATAGAGGACATTGTTGAGTTTAAATAATTCAACTTCGCTTGTTGTTGGTGCTGCAACTGCTGCTGCTGCTGTGACTGCTTATGGTGGTGGTTTGCGTTTATATCGCCTTCTGTAAGAAGATCAACTGAATTTTTTTGCAGGAAATTTTTTGAAGGTGTTGATGTCAATTTGTCGTTATTTAACCTGCTGTTGTTGCTGCTGTTGCTGTTGTTGTTGTTGCTGCTGCTGTTGTTGCTGTTGCTATTATAAGAGTTGTAACCATACAACTGTTTATATCTTTCCTCAAAAGTTCTGGGTACAAAAGACGGGAATGGATAATTCGGAATGTAAGGGAAGGATGGAATGTGTTCGATGGTGTTATGCTTTACGCTGCTTAGGTTTGAGCTATTTGCAGATGTGGTTGGTGCTGTCGAAGTTGGAAAATAATTCGGATTGTTGGATCTTACACTGTCGTTATTCGAGAGTTGTTGTTGTTGTTGGAGGTGTTGTTGTGGCTGTTGTTGGGATTGTGGCTGTTGTTGTTGTGTCTGTTCTAACGGCGAACCAAATTCTTCTTCCAAAAAGTTGTTTCTTTGTTGGAACACTGGCTACTGTTGAATTCTTCTTTGATGTGTTGTTGTTGTTGCTGCTGCTGTTGTTGTTGTTGTTGATGTTGTCGTTGTTGCTTGGTCTGTGGCAGCTCAGTAGTTAACATCTTTTAACTGAAAAAAATTGCTATGTGTTAAATAATAAAAGATTAAACGAATGGATAAATCCCAATTGGATGGATTGGATACAGAAAAAAAAATCAAGTCAATCCTTTTTCAACACTTAAATTATTTTTTCACAGACACTCACACACATACACTTACACATACACGCACGCACACGCACGTAAAAACAATCGACACTTATCCGCAATACTATTAATTATAAACAATCTGTCCATTCCTAGTAAATAGCAAGATCTATATCCAGAAAACACACACACACACATACAAACACACACACGCACACACATACACACATACATACGTACATACACATATACACGTACACAAATAAACAAAGAAACACAATCCGCAAATCACACATAGACACACAAACAAACCTACAAACATGCAATTAACGGTAATCACAATATACAAATGTATACAAAACATACACAATTATATACAAACCATATACAAATATATACAAAACCTATACATGTATATACAAAACATACAAAAGTATACAAAACATACACAATTATATACAAAACATATACAAATAGATACAAAACATATACAATTATATACCAAAAAATGCCACACGCATCTAATGGCATACGTGCGTTAAGCATTAAAACTTCATAAAACACACAAACACTAATGATTAGACCAGGTAATGTGTGTATATGTGTGTCTATGTGTTTTTGTTTGTTTGTATGTATATGTGAGTACACAAGTGTATGTGTGTGTGTGTGTGTCTAATGCAATTACAAATGCGATGTTACACATACAGACACACACAAACACACACATGTATACGTACACACACACACATATACACATGTATATACTCAGACACACACACATACACACGCACATACATACAAATAGCATGTGTGTGTGTTTTAAACGAAAAAGCGTTCAGCTAAATCGGTGTCAAAAACGGTCACGCATTATTAAGGAAGGTTATTAATGGATGGAGTTAAATTTAATTTTAATTTTCCGGGTGTATTTTTTTTTGTTTTTTTTTATTTATTATTGTTAGTTTGTTTATGTATGTATGTATGTATGTTGTTTATTATGAATCATTTTACAAATTTTACTATTCAATTTCATAAACCGAACGACCAAATGTATGAATGAACGTAAGAAGGGCCGATTGATTGGTCGAAAGAACAAGCGAATAAAAGAGCGAACAAATGAATGAATGAATAACTAAACAAACGAACAAACGAACGAACGAACAAACCGAAATGAAAGAAATGAAAGGAAGTGCAGATGCCCAATACAACAAGGTCAAAGTTCAATTAAGGATAATTTCGACGTATTAATCTCCTACTCTCTCTCTCTCTCTCTCTCTCTCTCTCTCTCTTTTTCTCTCTCTTTCTCTCTCTTCCTAAGAATCTTCTTTCGACTCATCTATTCATTATCCGTGTTTTTCCAAATTTTACCCCTCTTTTAATCATCATCCGTGCGTGTGTATGTGCGTGTGTGTATGTGTGTGCGTGTGTGTATGTGTATGTATGCGTGTGTGTACGAGTGTACGTACACACAATATGTTAATAAATACATGCCCAAAACACGTATACACACGCATGTATTGAGGTATTGTATTTTATTGGCCTGATAGAAGTTGATAGGAATCAAATGCTAAAACCAGATGTTTTTATTTTGTGTGTATGTGCGTGTGCGTGTGAGAGAGAGAAAGAGAGAGAGAGAGAGAAAGAAAGAGAGAGAAAGAGAGAGAGAAAGAGAGAGAAAGAGAGAAAAAGTAGAATGCACGTGTATGTTTGATTTTTACAATAGATCCACTGTTTCACAAACCAAACATACGTAGATGTTTGTTTGTTGTTTGTTGAAACGCTGATAGCCATGGTTGGCTTGATTCGTGTTATTATAATTTGTTTGTTTTATGTTTTTTGATGGTTGTGTTTTTATTAAAATCCATCCATCTGTATATCAATTCATTTCTTCATCTATCTATATATATATATATCCATTCACCTGTTCATCCATCCATCCGTTCATCAATCCATTCATCTATATATCCATCCATTCAATACTAAGAATTGTAATCGCTATTCACTGACCATTATTGACCAGCATACGAACACACACACGCGCGCATACAAACAAACACACACGCATACAAACAAACACACACGCGCGCATACAAACAAACACACACGCATACAAGCACACGCACACGCGGGTTGTGGAAGGCGAGTAGCATCAACACAGTAGCAACAAAGTAAAATAAACAGCATTGAGGCAACAACAACCTCATCAACAAAGAACAAAAAGTCAACAGCAAAGAATAAACGAAACAGAACAACAACTTTGACGAAGAACAAACAACAAAACCTCAATAACGGCAGAAGCAAAGAACAATAACAAATTTAGCAACAAATTTAGCGAAATGATTTTATTAAAAATTTAAAACCCGCCCGAGGTTAGAGCTTATCATGACAAGCCGAGATATATAATTCATATTATTAGTATGGAAAGCCGAAAGATACAATTCATATGAGTATGGAGAGCCGAGAAAAATTTTTATTAACACCGGCTCTGGAACATCGGACATTAAATTTATAATTGAAACCGTTATGCCAAAAATAAACCGATACATATCGCCATCTCCGTATTAATAACAACCCTATCTGTTTGTCTGTCAGTGTCTGTCTGTGTATCTGTGTCTCTCTGTGTATCTGTTTGTCTGTTTGGTAGTCAGTCGGTCTGTTTCATTGTCTATTTGTTTACATTTGGATGTTATTGTTCATGTATTTATGTTTACGATTGTAAGCATGCATATGGTTTTGTATGTGTGTGTGTGTGTTTGTATTTTTGTATGTGTGTGTGTATGTGTGCGTGCACTTTAATAATATGGATGTATGTATGTTTGTATTGTATATGAATATAGCATAATCATTGACTAGTGTATAAATGAATGTGAATGTAATAAAACTATTTACTCCTAGTAGAAAAACACACACATATACAAAAACATACACATACACACACACATACATTCACACACACGTAC